AAAGACTTCCAGTTTCTGTTCATCCTCCACGCGCATGGCCCAACATTCGCATCCGTATAAGAGGACGGAAGGCAACTTGGCAAAGACTAGGATGTAGTTATCATAGCCGAAGTCAGTCCTGGAGGGACCAAGCTATCAGCTAGATTTCGTGTAAAGATGCTCTTCAACGCTCCAGCGTTGTTCTAGATTGCATTTTTCAGTTGTGGCAAGCAGCCGCATTTCACTGCAGTTAATGGTCGTCAGTTCATAGTGCAATGATCGAGCTTTGCGTCATTTTAGAGGGCATTCGATGTGCCACACCTCGGCTCCGGTACCTTGATGGCACTGCCGCTGCTGGTGTATGACAGCTTGTTTATCAGACCCAGGAACCTGTTTATTTCGCAGTCAACCTTTACTCAATCCGGTTTCACTGTCCGCGACTAAGAGGAGCGCTGGGTGGCCGGCGGCTTTGCCAAGTACAGACTTATCCGTCCGGAACCAGTATAGGATCCTGCTCCCGAGACGGCCCTTTTGTCCCTGAGTTGTCATCTGTGTAAAACGCGCTGAAATTCAGCATTGCGATTCTCTGTCGAAAGTTTTGTCAGATCCAGGAGTGTGTTACAGGGGCGGCTCCTCGTTTCTCACTACTTCGTGCTTTTGATGGACTGCAAAAACCACACCCATACTTCCCCGGCGTTTTGAGGATGCCCACTGCCCCTCAATCAGTGGCCTCCTCTATAAGTAGATTCAGGTAATGTAGTAGGACACAGGCGAGGGTTTCTCCTAAGTTGCGGTTCCCGTTGGGATAGGTTCTCGTGTCGCCGTCTGTTACGACTCGCGTCCGCGACTTGTAATTAGTGCGAAAGCCGTGCTAGCCCGCTGTTATCGCGAGTGCCCACGAGGGAACAAGAGAAGTCAATCGGCCAGAAGGTGAAGTGTACTCACACAGAACACTTCAAGGCAAGAAACTGCAAGTCACTCCTGCAACAAGGCTGCGGGGTATTTATTCAGTCCGCTCCATAAGTAGGCCTCAGTGACAGGTGACCAATCAGCTGTGATAAAAAATCGATATCCACGGCGCGCTTTCATGACAGCGGCGTGGG